GCCTCTCTCCTGCCTCTTCCTGCCTCTCTCGCCTGCGTCTCTCCTGCTTCATGCCTCTCTCCTGCCTCCTCTCCTGCATCTCTCGGGCTCCTCTGCTCTCTGCCTCTCGTCCTGCTCTCTTCTGCCTCTCTCCTGCTCTCTCCTGCCTCTCTCCTGCCTCTCTCCTGCCGCTCTCCTGCCTCTCCTGCCTCTCCTCCTGCCTCTCTCCTGCCTCTCTCCTGCCTCCTCCTGCGCTCTCTCCGCCTCTCTCCTGCCTCTCGCCTCGCCTCCTCGCCTTCGCTCCTGCCTCTCTCTGCTCGCTCCTGCCTCGCTCCTGCTCGCTCCTGCCTCGCTCCTTCCTCTTCTCCTCTCTCCTCTCTTCCTCTCCTTCTCTATCTCCTCTCTCTCCTCTCTCTCCTCTCTCCTCTCTCTTCCTCTCGTCATCCTCTCTCTCGCTCTCTCTCTCTCTGCCTCTCTCTCCGCTCTCTCTCCTCCTCACTCTCTCCTCCTCCTTCTCCTCTCTCTCTCTCCCTCTCTCTCCTATTCTCTCCTCTCTCCTCTCCTCTCCTCTCCTTCCGCTCTCTCGCTCTCTCTCTTCTCCTCGTCCTCGCTCTCTCTCTCCTTCTCTCTCTCTCTCTCCTCTCTCCTCTCTCCTCCTCCTCTCTCATCCTCTCTCCTCTCTCTCCTCTCTTCCTCTCTCCTCCTTCTCTTCCTCTCTCCTCTCTCTCTCTCTCTCCATCTCTCCTCTCTCTCCTCTTCTCTCTCCTCTCCTCTCTCTCTCTCATCCTCTCCTCCTCTCCTCGTCCTCTCTGCCTCCCTCTCCTCTCCTTCCTCTCTCCCCTCTCCTCCTCTTTTCTCCCTGCTCCTCCTCTCTCTCCTCTCCTCTCTCCTTCTCCTCTCCCTCTCTCTCTCTCTCCTCCTCTCTCCTCTCTCTCCTCTCATCTCCTCCTCCTCTCCTCTCTCTCTCTCCCTCTTCTCTCTCTTTCTCATCTCTCCTCTCTCATCCTCCTCTCTCCTCCTGCCTCTCTCTCTCCATCTTCTCCTCTCTCCCTCTCCTCTCTCCTTCTCCTCATCCTCTTCCTTCTCTCCTCCCTCTCTTCTCTGCTCTCCCCTCTCTCCCTCTCTCTCCTCTCTCCTCTTCCCTCTCTCCCCTCTCTCCTCTCTCTCTCTCTCTCTCTCTCCCCCCTCTCTTTCTTCCTCTCATCTCCCTCTCTCTTCCTCCTTCCCCTCTCCTCCCTCTCTCTCCCTCCTCTCTCTCCCTCTCTCTCCCCTCTCTCTCTCCTCTCTCTCTCCCCGTCTCTCCTCCTCTCTCTCCCTCTGCTCTCCCTTTCTCCTCTCTCTCTCCTCTCTCTCTCCTGGTTCCCCTCTCTGTCTCCCCTCTCTGCTCCCCTCTCTCTCCCCTCTCTATTCCTCTTTCCCCTCTCTCTCCCCTACTCTCCCCTCTCTCCTCTCTCCCCTCCTCTTCCTCCTCTCTCTCCTTCTCCCCTCTCTGTTCTCCCTCTCTCCCGTCTCCCCTCCTCTCTCTCCTCTTCTCTCCTCTCTTCTTCTCCTCCTCCGTCTCCTCCTCTCTCTCTTTCTCTACTCTCTCTCCCCCTCTCTCCCTCTCTCCCCCTCTCTACCTCTCTCTCTCCCTCTCTCTCTCCCCTCTCTCGCCCCTCTCTCTCTCCCCTCTCTTCTCTCACCCTCTTCTCTCCCCTTCTTCTCCCTGCCTCTCTCCCTCTCCCTCCTCTCTCTCTTCTCCTCTCTCTCCCTCGTCTCTCCCCCTCTTCTTCCCTCTCTCTCTCCCCTCTCCTCCCTCTTCTCCCCCTCTCCTCTCCCCTCTCTCTTCCCTCTCCTCCCCGCTCTCTTCCCCCTCTCTCTCCCTCTCTCCCTCTCCTCTTCCCTCTCTCTCTCCCCTCTCTCTCTCTGCCTCTGCTCTCTCTCCCCTCTCTCTCGTCCTCTCCCTCTCTCTCTTCCCTTTCTCTCTCCCTCGTCTCTCTCTCTCCCCTTCTCCTCTCCCTCTGCTCTCTCTCTCTCTCTCTCCTCTCTCTCTCAGCCCCTCTCTCTCGTCTCCCTCTCTCCTCCCCTCCTCCTCCCCTCTCTCTCTTCTACTCTCTGCCCCCCTCTCTCCCTCTCTCTCTCCTTCTCTCTCCCTCTCTCTCTCCTCCCCTCTCTCTCCCCTTCTCTCTCCCGCTCGTCTCTCTCCCTCTCCTCTCCCCTCTCTCTCTCCCCTCTCTCCTCTCCTCTCTCTCCCCCTCTTTCTCTCTCCTTCTCCCTCCTTCCCCTCTCTCTTCTCTCCCCTCCTCTCCCCTCTCCTCCTCTCTCGCTCCTCTCGTTCCCCCTTTCCTCCTCCTCCCCTCTCGCTCCTCTCCCTCTTCTCTCTCTTCCCTCTCTCTCCTTCCCTTCCTCTCTCCCCTTCCCCTTCTCCCCTCTCCTCTCTCTCCCTTCTCCCCTCTCCTCTCTCTCCCCTCTCCTCTCTCTCCCCTCTCTCCTCTCTCTTCTCTCTCTGTCTTCTCTCTCTCTCTCTCTCTCTCCAATTCGCCCCGCCTCACACTTAGCGTAGTGTGGGCGACCTGCCCCGTGCGGCACTTTCAGCAGGCAGCAGTAAGTAATTATAGTAAATAATTATATCTTATTAAAATGTTTAACCATTTCATTTTATATTTTTCTCACACCTTCGATTCGGGCCGATTAAAATGAATGCGGACTATTTCAATATTTATTCTGTGACATCTTTAAATACCGGTGTAATAATGACATCTTTCTCATTGATGCGACTGGCAACTCCGTGTGTACGGACTAGTAGTTAATATCCGTATTTTATTTTGTGATTGGATTGTTAAGACTAATATTAAGCGAGAATAACTTCTATCATAAGAAGAATAGTGTTTAATATTGTATAATATCTGCAAATTATATTAGAGTACTGTTCAGTTTCTTCAGTGAAGCTTTGACAATTCATAGAAAGTTTAATTCATGGATCGTCAATAGCCCAATTCATATTAATTTAATGGCACATATGTATACGCTTTCCTATATGACTTTAGATCTCATAAGTAGTGTAGTGATTGTTAAATTATTGAACTTTGTTGAAAATTGTATTGTTTGTGTACGTATACGTCACCTTTCCTGTGTCCCCTCATCGCATCTTCTCTCCTCCATGTCTTTCCACCCTATTTTGCCACCCCACCTGCCCCCACGGCTCGTCGCGTGCGACGCGTCGCCAGGAGCGAGCCCGCGCCACGTGACGAGCTGCGCAAATTGCCCGCGCGGAGCAGAGCAGAGCAGAGCAGAGCAGAGCAGAGCAGAGCAGAGCAGAGCAGAGCAGAGCAGAGCAGCGCGGGCGTGGGTGGGCGCCGGAGGTCGTTGCCGCTGCCGCCGCCGCCGCCGCCGCTTCCTTCGCCCGGGGGGACGAGGTCGAGGGCCCCAGGGCGCCCCACTTGCGGGCGATAACGCTCACGTCCCGCTCAGCGACGCATACCTCCCGATACCCTGCCCCCGCTGGCGAGGGGAACATTCGCCTTCACTGCGAGCGGACAGGAAGAGCCTAGGGCGCCGTGACCCCTGGAAATTTTGAAAGGTGCCCTCGTAACCTAGCTTAATAATACATTCTACTTCTGCGCTTATGTTGAAACCCTCCCTCCCCCTTTTTTAAATACAATTTGGAGAATTGTCATGCGTTACGTTGGATGCGACCTAGCCATCTGACAACCCTCGTGTCTAAAAACGAAGTAGTTCAGTATCAAATCTCTTCTGTTTATTATCCGTATCATTTAAGTTTGTTAAGTCATTCCCCTTTTAGTTTTTATTTATTTGCCTGTAAAGTATGTCATTTGTAAAAGTTGAATGAAGGGAGTCTAGAACAAAAGGCCTCTCCCCCGCGTGTCTTTGTTGTTGCACTCGCCTATGCTCGCCCCAGCAGCCGCATGCTTAACCACTGCGAGAACTTGCCGACGAACTTTTATTGACCACCAGCCTGGTCGTCAAAGAACTTGGGTAGTTTGTCAAAGTGCGCGTTAGACATTAAGGCTGTGAATTTGAATACTGTTTGGGGCATCGATGTATTCGCAGTGTTTTGGGCATAGAAGCACGTGTCACTGGATAGTACTGTTTTTCGGACATCGCAAAGGTGAAAAGTTCGCAATGCGCCCTAAAGCCCCCCAGCAAAAGGGATTGACCATTCACAAATTTGGTGTCGAGGAAATTGTACTGTCATGTCCATTTTTTGTACATTTTATTTGTAACTTTTCGTGCAGCTCTTTATTTTTGTTTCATTCTACATTTTAACTTTATTTACTTATTTATTTGGGAAGGTAAAAAAACTACTCTGCAGTGTCGGTGACAGATGTGCCCTAGCGTGATGTCTTCTGAAACCTGCTGAGAATGGTCTTATGTTCTAGTTCATATTTCATCGTTCCCCTGTTAATGGATGGAGCTGCGGTTTGCGGAAGTCGTGGTGTTGACCTTGTGAATTACAGAGAATCTAATTCTGTAATGAATTACAGAGAAGACAGTATACCACTTTCGATGCATTTCATCCTTGTTTCTGTTGTAGGTCTTCTACCCTTCGCAGTTTTGGCAGTTTTCAATTTTTTCTGTTCAGTAATATATAATGTTTTTAAAGTGTTTAAAATGTGTACATTTTAATGAATAGGTCTGGAACTTCTTAGTGATCAGGCTTGGATATTTTTAATGATAATATTCAATAGTATCTAAATATACATGAATTGTATTTAGAAATAAATACCATTGCCATTGTGAAACACACAGACAGGAAATGAGAAAGAAAAGTTATTCCTTTCGCCAGTGCTTTGATTAACTACCGAGGTGGTTTTGAAAAGATCACGTGCCTGAAACGAGATGGTAAAGTCGTAACGAAATAGGTACTTCGACCTTCCTTTCTGTTGCAAAGGTAGTAAGAGTACAGTTTTTCTAAGAATTTCTATTGTACATTGTAAGGGCCATGTTCACAATTAATTGCAGGAAAGCTTAATTAGAGTTACGTTTTCTTTTTTTACAAACACACAATTATATTGTTTCAGGTAAGAGGAAAGAATACCTTGTCTCGGAGGAAAGGATAACTAGTGTGGTGAGTAACTAGATTCGTTAACTGATATATTTGGATTACCTATGAAGAGATCTTTCAAAGCACTTCCAGAGAGGGAACACGGGCAAGAGGGCTATATTGGGGGTTATTCCGAACGGAAATCGTCTTGACGTGCGCACTGATCGTGCGATCAGGCAAGAAAATATTAATGACTAAAGAAAAGAAAAAAAAAATATATAATAGCTCCACCCAAATTTATCGTTGGTACCAATCGGCAAACTATAAAATTTCCAGCGTACCTTTAGGAATCAATGACCATTGCGATTGTAAAAGAACAGAAACAAAAATTGTTTAATTTTGGAAAAAAGAAAAAGAAAAAAAAAAGAAAAAAAAAGAGCCTAATATGAACTTTACGTCATATTAAAGAGTGCGATTACCACTAACCGTTCGAAAAGTTTGAAGAAACATTTTAGAGCCATTTATTACAAAATGACGCATGAGCGTTTCTGAAAACGGGAATTTTGAGCCAGTTTTCACAGAAAACTGTTGAGTTTTCCAAAAACTGTATTTGACATTATTTAAAGCACATGTATTCATAAATATAGTAATGAGAACAAATCGCCGCTAATGTAAATATAAACTACGTCAGAGGGAAGTCAAATTCTTTTCTTTCTTTTTTTTTAATTTTTGAAAAACAATACAATACAGCAACATGACAATTATGTCATCTCATAGAGTTCATTTAACCCTATCCCTACCAAAAGTTTAATGAAAAAAATTTAAATCTTTTTTGGGAAAATCGTGTTTTTTGTATTTTTTTAATTGCCCACATTGCACGCAATATCGCGCGAAAACTACGAACTAAAATTTTTAAAAACATGTATAAGACTTTAATGAAGGAACTTACTATGGAGAACAAATTTCATTTCATAGAAAAACTCTGTCTTTAATTTTTTAGTTGTAGGAAGACCCCGCAAAAAATTCAAACTTTCGAAATTTTCAGAAATTTAGAGTTAATCATGAAAATCTGACTTATGCCATCTTTATAAGTGTATTTTACTCTTCTTACCAGAAATGTAATGCAAAAATGAGCAGTGGTTTTTGAGAAAATGTTGAAAATGTCCGTGGGGTTTCACGTGAAGTACCCCAAAAATTATTGAATGTTTTTCAAAATCACAGAGCTTCGACTCAGTCCAAACCGACCAGGGTTTATTCAGTTTGGAAATAACCGTACGCCTAATTTAGGCGCTAGTGTTGTCCACGTACACCAGACGGTCAGGGGCGGACAGACGGACGGACGTTTTGCCGTCAATCGTTTTTGCGGTATCAAGGACCCACTAAACAAGAATTCTGGCTAAAGCATGTGTTTGAGGATATTTTGTCTTAATTTAGCAACTGGATTTATCCACTTTTTCGTTATAGTGCGTGGCAATGAATACGCCGTTTTTTCGCGCAGCATTACAAAACTATCCCTATATTATTTATATACGTATGTATACCGGGAAGTAAAAACTGTAATATTCTGTTGCAAACCCTCTTCATTCACGACGAACTGCCCTCGAAAGCAGCAGGAATGGCAACTAGATTCGCAGAAGTGGATTGTCAACATTCGGGCATCACCTGGAAAATGCATAATTCAGTATTTTAGGCCGGTAGCGAAACATAGTATTAAATGTTTCTGCAGTGTGCATGTGTACTTTGTGTGAAACATCAGAAACCACCTTATTCCAATTCAGCCTTCACGCAGCTCCAATGCAGCCGTCACGCGTGTATTTTGCAAATGTACATTCCCGCCTGAGATATGCTATAAAATTCTGGGGAAACTCGTCATGTAGTACTCAGACTTTAGAATTACAAAAGAAAATAATTCGAATAATGAAAAAAATGCCATCCGCGTTACCCTTCATTGAGCTTGGAATCTTACCACTCCCTTGCCTGTATATTTACGAATCTGTAATATTTGTCAAATGTGACTTACTTCACGGTGGGAACATATTTTCATACAATACTGATGTTTATAATTACAACACACGTCGTAAAAATCACGTTCATCAAGTGTTAGTATCAACATCTCACTATCAGAATTTCACATACAATATATGCACGTTACTTTACAACGCACTGCCAGATGACATTAAACAATTAAAGTCGGTTCACAAATTTAAGTTAAAAGTAAAATATTTTCTGTTGCATAACTGTTTCTTTACAATTAGAGACTATACTGATTATCAAAAAGAAAAATGTTTATTTCTCAAAACAGTGATATAATGAATTAGGTTACATTTGTATTGTATATTTTTTTTAAAAAGACTTAATATGTTTGTAACAAATAATATACTTCAGATTCCGGGTCAATGACTCCCTCTCGATCAGGGTTTTGTCCATTTTCCCCGATCCATTGAGCAAATGCTGAGATGGACCCTTGTTTTGCTTCTGGACGTAAGTGCAGCTTCACTATGCGCACGTTTTGTTCAACTCTCCCTTTGCTTGTAGTGGTAGGAGTAGAGGTAAGGCCAAATAAGTTTTCTATAACTCAGAAACGAAAATGACTATTTTTCAAGTAATCTTGCAATTTTTAAAATTTATTTTTATTTCTTTATGTTAAACTTTTACTCATCTTTCAACTATTTATAATTAAAATGACGGGAAGGGATTCTGGAACTCAAGAAAACGTGCGCAGATAATCTTTTCCCCTCTACGTCACATACAGTTTTTACTGTTTTTTTGAATGAATAAATCTAAATCTAATAATTGCCAACAGGAAATCCCACGATGTACATTAAATGTTACTTGTGTGTGTTATGTTTAACCGAAACGTGTTTTTTTTTACTTTCTCGCCTTACGAATTTTTCGTAAGAAGAGAAAGTTATATAATTGTGCACAAGAAAAGTCCTAAATTTCGCCTTAAAAAAAACCTTATTGTCGGGATCTGGTAACGAAGAAGTAGATAAATCCTGTTGCTAAATTAAGAAAAAAGATCTTCCATCTTGTGGTGTATCCAGAATCCATGTTTTGTTGATTCTTTATATCGGAAAATTGTTGGTCGTAAAAATGTTCGTCTGTGGTCAACCGTAGCGACTAAACCGTTCAACCGATTTGCTTCAAAATATATATTCCTCTATCGATCTGAACGAATTCGTACCTTTCGGAGTTTCAAACGGATATTTTGATATTTGAGGGTACTTCACAGGAAGCGTTAAACATATTTTCAAAATGTTCTCTTAAACGGCTGGAATGTTTTGATTAAATGTTCTTGAATAGTGCAAAGGACGTTTAAGAGAAATGGTTCAGATCTCATTTTTGCTAACTTCCTCTATTTTCGAAAGTTGAAAAAAAAAAAGTTTTAAAATTGAAGATAAATTTGGCTCAGACAAAGTCTGCAGTACAAAATTAGGTCTTTAAAAGGTCATGTATATTGCTTTGTAAAATATATTAGTTTATGCATAATTTGCGCTTGAATTTTTTTCTTGTCAAAAATTCCTTCAATTTTTTTCTTTAATTTTTCTCTACTTATGTAATAAAAGACGGTAATAAATATGGTGCACGTCCCATATTTGGGTATTGCTTGTTATTTTCGAAAATTACAAAAAACTATTTTAAGAGTAGAAAATTGAAGATTGGGTTTTTTATCTCAAAGTCTGTTGTACCTCTTTAAAAATGTCATGATCAAAGTCTTGAGCATCTTTTTTTAAATGTTATCCACATATGTAATAAGGGATACCATTTTCTGGTATTGCTCGGTTTTCGAAAATTGCAAAAACAATTCCAAACTACAAAATTGAAAATATTTTGCCTCAGAAAAAGTTTGTTGTAGCTTTTTAAATAAATAAATAAAATAATAAATGAGTTGTGCTATAGATTGTCACATATTTTCTCGCAGTGTTTTGTTTTCTAATCTCTTTAGTCTGAACTAAGATTTCAGTTGTGACTGATTCTCTTCCAAGATACCTTCTTTGGTCGCCCAAGGACATTTTTTTCACATTTTCTCATTTTTTCTGCTTCCTAATGTTAGAACTAAAATCACAATACGCTCATTTTTATTATATAAGTGTAAAACCCATGTGCTACCCGGGTGGTCGAGGTTGTTAATTGGTGTTTACGGACTCAGCCCCTCGGAGGGCAGGCTGGGTGGTTCGAGTCTTGATCGGGAATTATTATTTGTGACAATTCTCTGTTGCCGCAGGAAACCATTGATAATTCCAGAATCTTTATTGAAAACCATTTAAAGTAATTCTAATCGCAAATACTTTTATTAAACTTTAATAAACTGGAAGTGTGTCTTATGTCGTTTTCGAAGTTTCAACTTACAAACAATGTCCACGTCTCATATTGGATTTGTAAAACATCTCGACAAATCGTTGATGCCTATTATAGAATTGCCAACTCTTTGTATAACCCGGGTGGCTGAAGTGGTTAAATATCAGGTTCGAACTCAGCGTTTCGGAGGGAAGTGCCTTGTCTTCGAGCCCTTCACGGGGACTTGTCACAACTCTCTGTTGTGCAGAAAACTATTGAGAATTTTTTAAACTTTATTGAAAATCCTTTGAAGTACGTATACAGTCTGTTAAGATTGTAAATACGCTGAAAGTGTCTATGTCTTTTTCGTATTTTGAAACTTGAAACAAGTGTACAACTCTTTTGTTTTATTTGTAAAACGTATGTCACATCAAATAAATTGTTCAATATAATATGCAAATCAATATAATATTGCGAAGCGTTTAGAAACATTGCGAGAAAGAGTATGCTTTTGCAGCATCACTTTTTTTCTCCATGTGGTTAGTTGACTCGCCAAAAATATCGCATTTCCATTCCCTTATTAAAAATATAATACGAAACATTTTCTTTGAATGTTAATAATCCTTTGCGTATTGGTAAACTAATCTTTATTAAATTTGTCATCTGTTTAGCACAATGGAAGTGCAAGATCTTGAACTATTGTGAATTATTTTTCAGGGCTAAGGGAACCCGTTTACTTAATTATTTGTTTATTATTTTCTTAATCAGTGCGAGGATGTATTGCGGCTGTACATTCGAACACCAAGTTTGCCTTTGATTACAATGTAAAAGCGATACTTAAAACATCACCCTATTACTAACGTCCAAATATGAAAGTCTTAATGAGATAAATTTGTAGGTTCTATATTGTCAATGTGTCATCATAACATGTGTAAAATGGATGAAAGATTGATTTTATTTTTGTTGTGAAAAATTCACATGGCTTAAAATTGTAGATTACACTTTTAGTAGTCAGAAAGCAGGCAAATAACGTAGACCTAAAAAGTATGAAAGACTCGCTTGAACTGCATCAAAGAGAGCTCTTCAGTTGGAAGGCAGGGATATTGGAATGTCCTGGACGGAAGGCTTTGGGACCTGCCTGAGATCTTCGAGTAGTGGTGAGGCGAGCGCGTGTCCGCGAGGCGCCAATTGAGGGACGCGCGAGCGCGCGGATTCCCAAGCGCCGCGTAC